TAGGCATCTCTTATTGGTTCTGTATTGTTCAGATAAACTAACAGCAATGTTAAAGCTAGAAATTCATTATCATGTTTGGATATGGAATATGAATCCATCAGTATTACAACATGATATCTTGATATCTATATGGTATGTGAAGTGTGTATACTTTTATGTTATTAGTGTCCTCTTTAATTTCTCTCTCTCCCTTTGAAAACAATGTTGTGATGTGCATTATTCTTTATTCTGCGTTCTCCGCATTTACCTGTCAAGACAGAAATGGATTTTTACAATACTGTAGAAGATGATGAATGAAAATCACAAGAGTTACTACAAATGTCTGCTTTTTTGCTCATATGTTTTGTATTTGTGTATTTTATGAACAGGTCTTGGTATTAGCATGTCATAAGATGTTTGTTCTATTATGCAAGAGATTGTTGCATCGACTTGAGACAAATCAGCCCAATCTCAGCTGTGTGTCATGTTAATGGACACATTGATCTAATAAAGGGAGTGTTTGTGGTATTAAGGCCATTCCCACAAAAATATGTTTGCTCATGTGATGTTTTACAGCCTTACGTTTGACATGTTGTTTTTCATCAATCTGAAAGACTCGTTATAAACTATATTTATGTACATAGCATAATCTTTATGAAAAACAGCTATTTTGTATGAATGAAAAGCATTTTAGTTTTGAAATTTCTTAAAGAGACTTCAAAGTAAATGCCATGTGAATATGTACTCTAGAGGATGATTTTGTCCTTCTTTTGCATGTGTCTCCTGATTAAACAGTGATAATCCGTTCTGCAGTATCTTGTGTTATGTCAGATATTTAAGAGTACACTGCTGCCTGTTGCATGCAGATGCATGAGAAGGTTCCTATGTATTACTGAACATGGGGAAATTCAAAGTCTTAAGTATATATATTTTGTCATGGAGCCCAATACATAAAAATGTGATCTGTATGTTTGTCATGAGAAATAGACCGCTGGGCAAAATGCTTAAACTTTTGAAACAAATGTGCATATGAAGATATTTATTTTGTTTTTACTCAATTTTATTTTTTACAAGGAGAAAACCAAACAGGTTAAACAATCATGTTCCGTACTGTACAGTACAAAGATGGATTACACTGAGATTTCAAAGACTTCTATTGGTTTTGAAATATTGTTTTGATGCAGGCTAACTGCGATACACAATTATACTCAAATGTATCATTATTTCTAAAAATACATTTAATTTGAGTGTTTACTTGCACAGATTTCGAATAAAGTTCTGAAATGCACAATCAGAATAAACCTGTCGTTTATGTCCTGCAAAGGTTGTTTTCCCCTATATTCCACTATATTCCTGTTTTATGTCTCCAGTAGTGTATGACATATGGTTAACATAAAAACACTGATCTTACATGCAAAAAGGAAGTTAGGAGGAAGCTGTTAAGAGTGTGTTTTTGTTCATGGAAACCTTGTCTTTGGCTGACTAAAATTTGCTGTTGACCTCAATTTTATCTGCTGTGCCCTGAGTCATGACCTTAATTCCTGTCGGTTGCGGTGACATAGATGTGAGAGGAAGTGATAGGACAGAGATGACCTCGTGCATCACTGGGGCCATCATCAAGACAGATCAGTGGCCTGTAAAAAGGTATTCTGGAAGAAAGGGACACTGCAACAAAGAACAACCTGCCTCAGGCCCACATGGTTGCTTTTATCAGGAAACGGAGGAGAGAAATGCGATTCCCTCACCTTCTGCTCACTCGCATCTAAATACTGAAGTTTTTAAAAGCTCAAAAATGACATGCAGACACATTTTGGTGACAGACAGCGGAGCACGAGCGGTTTTAATAATCAAAGCTTGGAGAAGCACGCAAGCCTGTTTTTGAATATGAGCTTTTTATGTTTTCCTTCAAAACTAGGTCATATAATGTAGCCCTACACCTCCTTTTATGTGTATGTGTTAAAGTGAGGGGGTGGCTGAAGTGAGAGCTGATGGGATTAACTTAAAGCTAAAGCAGGTTTGAGTTGTTCATGAGTGTGAATCAAAAATGCTTTTGGAGTTTCAGGGTATGCTAGCAGATCAAATCATCATCTAAAGTGCTTTGAATGTTAAAAAGTGTAATAAACAGCATCATTTTGCTTGTAAAGGAAGGGATGATAAACCTCCGAACAACTGGAAAGTGCTGTCGGGAGGGTCGGTTAAGCAGCGGCGCCACTGATTAAGTGGAGGACACTCTTCACATTCCTGCTGAGTTTCTTTTACATATCCTCTCCCTCGTAATTGGACAAGAGCTTGCGTGCATTTTTGATGGATCAAAGAAAGTTGCACAGTTGGCATGAATCCGCTGATGTGGAACAATACATAAAAAGTAGGCTCTGCTTGGCTGATGATAGCTAATGCCCCTTATGCTTAAGTGGGAAATTCTAAACCATACCTGTGATTTATGGATCTCTGAACTCCTCACATGAAATATGACTTTTTGGCTCCCTTACAGCCCATGCATGCGCTCCTATCGTTGAAGTCTCCACTTAAACAGGCACTGTAACCTTAAGCACAGGACTTCACAGTATGCATGTACGCATCTAGAGGCACCCACATCTTTACTACGAATTTAGCAATGAAATATATATCATGTCCTTGATGACTGTCTTTTATTATGTGGCTTATTTTGTCATTCATAACAAGGAAAAGTGTGTGTGTAAGAGATGGAGATCATGCATACACTCTAAAAAATGCTGGGTTGTTTCAACCCAACGTTGGGTCAAATATGGACTAACCCAACTTTTGGGTTAAAACTTTAATTAAAAAATTTAACCCAACAGCTGGGTTAGTCCATATTTGACCCGATGTTGGGTTGAAACAACCCAGCATTTTTTAGAGTGTATTCCAAGTTTGATCAAACAGAAAAGTCATAAAAGAGATTTCATGTGACCCAGTTATGCCTATGAAAATGACATGAATATATATAAATATAACTATCATTACATATGCCAGATTACTACGAGGAGAGAGAGTGCAGCGATGAATCTATCTATCTGATCTAAAGGTATAAAGGTTTTTCTGTTCATTTCATAGACACCACATTGAATAATCCATCTGAACGTCCACAGTGAGTCAACACAGCAGGATCTGATGCTATATGGTATACATTGTTCTTGTGGTGAAAGGGAAATAACTAACCTGTGTTGCAATAGCTTGCTTTAACTAGATGGTCTGTCAGGTTCAAAAGGGCAGCAGAGGTTAAAAGAGACCTCAGAGATCGTAAGTGTGCATGTGCGTATGACAAAAAGGGGAACAGTGGGGTTTTGTTTGCCGAGGAGAAGGCCGACTATGTGACACTGTACACATTCCCCTCCTCTGACTTCTACTTTATTTGATCTTCCAAAGATTACCCTTTCCTTCAACTTCTCATAACCTTTAGTCTGGCAGTGAACCCTTCCCAACATAGATGTTTGTCAGGCTTGAACTGACAATAACCTCTTGCTTGCCTCGACTACAAAAAAAAGGAACAGAAATTAAACAAATAAGTCTGGGACCAAGACCGAGGTCAAGTTTTGGAGCTTGACAACTATTTGTTTGTCACAGGACACAGAGGGGGGTGGAAATGCCACACAGAGAACACTGGCTTTGAAATATTTAATGAAGATCATGCATAGCCTACTCCAAGTTTGATAAAACAGAAAAGAGATTTCATGTGACCCAGTTATGCCTATGAAAACGACATGAATATTTAAAAATATAACTATAATGCCAGATTACAACAAGGAGAGAGAGTGCAGGGATGAATCTATCTATCTATCTATCTATCTATCTATCTATCTATCTATCGGTCTGATCTAAAGTTTTTTCTGTTCATTCTGTTCATTTCTATGTTCTGTCCCTTATTTATGTATTCTGTATGCATCACTTATAGAGTGCACCATTTATTTTATTGCTTTTTTTAAGGTCGAAATACTATGCAAACATTGAAATGAATTGGAGACTCATCTCTCTGACAGAAAATGTCTTGTCTTTTACAACAAAGGCCTTTCAGACTCGTCCCACAGATATTTGCTTACAAGAGGATGAAATCAGACATACTTGGACCACCCTTTAATCAAAGTCCAGGCTGTTGTTTGGTAAAAGACTCAGGACTCCTATCTATCTATCTATCTATCTATCTATCTATCGGTCTGATCTAAAGTTTTTTCTGTTCATTCTGTTCATTTCTATGTTCTGTCCCTTATTTATGTATTCTGTATGCATCACTTATAGAGTGCACCATTTATTTTATTGCTTTTTTTAAGGTCGAAATACTATGCAAACATTGAAATGAATTGGAGACTCATCTCTCTGACAGAAAATGTCTTGTCTTTTACAACAAAGGCCTTTCAGACTCGTCCCACAGATATTTGCTTACAAGAGGATGAAATCAGACATACTTGGACCACCCTTTAATCAAAGTCCAGGCTGTTGTTTGGTAAAAGACTCAGGACTCTGAGGGCAAAGCAAGGTCACAGCTGACTGATTCTGCTTAATGTCAAGCAGGACACTGTGGGAAGACTTTTCCAGTTCCATGCACACACACACACACACACACACACACACACACAGGAGAGCAACAATGTCTGTATTCATAACAGCATGTCAGTTCTCTTCTTCACACTACTGTCTCTTAACTGTGCCAAGACATAGCTGCTACCACCCCCATCCATACTTTCCTCTAGATACGCACTTAAGAATTACAGATGTTTTTCCAGGACATTACATTTGACAAATCATCATTGAGGTTTAAAATTCCCAGTCTTACTCTAAAGGTAAATTATTCCACAATTGGTCTGGAATATACTTTAAGGAATCAGCGAATAGACATAGAATGTTGCACAGACATCTTCCCATTGGTCATTAAACTTAATTTATTTTGTAAATTATGTTAAAGGCATAAGACCTGTGATGGTCATTGCAGAAATGTGTGCCATGAAAATGGACGCGTTGCGCCCTCTAGTGGTCAGTAATGATATACGCAGGAACAGATTGTCGTAAGGACTTTACCCCTGAAGTTGGATACAAATAAAAATGTAGCCTGTCTTACTCCGTACAGTACACACTAATACGTTCGATTTTCAGGTCATTTATTTCCTCAACAGCACAAAACTCGAAGGCGTTCACAAAACTACAGCTGCATTCCGCTCGGTTTGCATTCATGAACTACGTTAACGTTACCACTTTTCTCCGGAATCTTGCTGTTCAGCGTAAAGTACAAACCCTTAGAATGTCTTTTGCTGTTCACGAAAACGTGAAGGTAAGCGGTCACAACGCGCTTTGACACCATTAAGTTCACTGATAGCGACGCTATCAACGACGACGACATATTATTTTTCCATTTACGTTAATCGCATCGTTTACACCTGTGATCAAAATGTACTTTAGCTTTTGAGGGGTCTGATAAGAGTTGTTGATGTATTATGTATAGTTGTGCACCATAACAGAAATTTCAGATTGTTTTGATTTAATGCGAACGTTTTTACATGGCAGTCACATGACCAGAAAAGTCTGATGCCCTTTATCCTTCTGAAGGATTTCTAATGTTCCTCATTACATATTTGTTGCATGTGATATTGTTTATTTATTTTCACAAATTCAAGATTTCTCTGTGCAATATGAATCACATTCGTAATGAAGGATTCACTTTTTAAAACTAGATTTCAAAGTATTAATATTAAATGGTGTTGTTAAAAAGAAATATGCATGTAATTCCCATATACAGTATTGAAATTTTGAAATTTCTTCTATGTACGTTAACGTTACTACTGAAATGACCTCTATGTACTACTGTAAACCACCATTTTTATTTATGTCAGTTATAATATACTACTAATAATAAAAATAATAATACAATTAAGCAGTAAGGAAAATTAAAGGAGGTCAAGCAACCTCCATTGGACCACTTGAGATGGATTGACCCTGACTTTTTTTAGTTTATTTAGGTTATTACATTCTTGATGACCAATTGAGCAGTATTGGACTCCCAGTCCACTCCGAGTTTTCCCCTCGGATTAGAGGAATAAAACATATTTGCATATTTATAAATATCATTCATTATTTCATATATTATTCATAAACATTTGCATGTATTTAAAAGTTTCAGCTACCAAAAACGTAATCCCTTAGTGTACACTGCAAGCATGTAATGTCCCTTCATTGGATTGTTCTACTTTGGTCGCATTTACTTATAAGCTTTCTATATAAATGAGCTTTAGCATTTCTTTTAGGCCACCAAAACATGCAAAGCTCACTCTCTATTACTTGCAGAATTATTATGGCTCACGGCTGGAGACTTCGGATGACTTGCAGACCAATGCTGCATGTGTCATGCCCTCCAGACCTCTGCCCAAGAGTGCGTGTGAAGCCCTGAAACAAGTCCACCCAGATGTTTGCAAGAGGTACTGTAAAACTTTATTGAGATTATGATTTATAATTTCAGATTTGTCTGATTTGTGTAAGTAGTGAATGAAATGATATAATCTGCAGGTATTTCGGCTGTGGTCTGGTGATTCCAGAGAAGCTGGAAGGATGTACGGTTCTTGATCTGGGCAGTGGATCGGGCAGAGACTGCTACGTCCTCAGTAAACTGGTGGGGGAGAGAGGTCGAGTCATTGGACTGGATATGACGGACGAGATGGTACAAAGATTGATTTGAACATATTTTGTGAAAGTTTAGCAACAAAAGACCTGAAAAATGTTAAATGATCTTAAATAACCAAGTAAATAAGTGTTAACCACTGTATAAGTAGAATAATTTAAAAGTGTAAAAAAAATATGAAAGAAAGTGCAACCTTTATCCTTTGTGTTTGCTCCAAAATTAGATAGTTGCCTCGCAAAAATATGTCCAGTACCATCAGGAGAAGTTTGGATACTCAAAACCAAACACTGTGTTTGTGAAAGGATACATGGAGAAGCTCAGTGATGCAGGGATACAGAACAACTCTTTGGATGTAGTTGTGTATGCACATTCTTAGGCCATTTATGATGTTTTCCATAAAATATAACCTTTAATCTGCCTGAGCAAAAGTAGTAAAAAGGCCAATTATTTTTCTAGGTCAAATTGTGTGATATGTCTGTGCCCAGATAAGAGGACTGTGATAAGTGAAGCTTACAAAGTTCTGAAGGTGAGATATTTCCATCTCATACCTACCGATAATTTCCCCTCATTATTGTATTTATGCAAGAAAAACCTTTGCCAAGTTGTGCACTTTGCAAACACTGTTTCATATGTGAATGATCTCATAGGAGGGCGGAGAGTTGTACTATAGTGACATGTATGCAAGCGAAGTAGTTCCAGACTCTTTCAAGGAAGATCCAGTTCTGTGGGGTAAACTTGATTTCTTTTTCTTTACTGATGTTTTTTTTCATTTAATACATTTTGTAGTACTTTTGACCACGCCTCATTCCTTTATAAGGGCTGATTAAGGAAAGTTAATGAGTTACGACTTAAAGGGTTAGTTCACCCAAAAATCTGTCATTAATTACTCATCCTCGTGTTGTTCCAAACCCGTAAGACCTTCGTTCATCTTCGGAACAAAATGTAAGATATTTTTGATGAAATCTGAGGGCTCTCTGACCCTCCCATAGACAGCAAGGTAACTACCACGTTCAAGGTCCAGAAAAGTACCAAGATGATCAACAAAGTTTTCCATGTGACATCAGTGGTTCAACTGTAAAGTTACGAAGCTACGAGAATACTTTTTTTGCGCAAAGAAAACAAAAATAACGACTTTATTCCATATTTTCGTCTCTACTGCGTCACTTTGGACGCACGTTCACGACAGTACTGTAATGCGAGCGTGTGGCGGCACCGGCGCTGACCCAGATCCGGCGTAATGACGTTATCACGCAGGATCTGGGTAAGCGCCGCCACATGCTCACGTTCCTTTTCAGTAGTTCCTTTGCAACTAGCTATATATATATTTGAAATATTTTATTTCAGTTAACATTTATTTCAGATATTTTTATGGTTTTAGCTTTAAAGTTCAGAGTTCAAAGCCTTTATTGTTATATGTACATTTTCCTGTACAATTAAATTCTTACTTTGCTTTCCACTCTGAATTCCATAATAGAAAAATAATAAAGTATTAATAGATAAATAAGATGGAACATATAATTACAAATGTACAAACAGTGCAATGTATAGTAGTGAAGTATAGAACAGTGCAATGTATAAATACTGTGCAAGCTGCAGTTGGATATGGTATGGTGAGGATTCCATACTGAAATACTGTAATTCAAATTGATTTAGTTTGTTATAATAACCCTGGTTCACACAAACACAAAATCAATTGTTTCCAAACAAAAATGTTGTCATTGAAATTTAATCGCACCCCTCAATAACATATAAATTGTGGCTCATCCATGCAATAGTGAATTTGAATGGTGGATTTAAATAATAAGTGCTTGTTCCTATCAGGTGAGGGAATGGCTGGCGCCCTCTACTGGCGGGATCTCATCACTCTGATGAATGACAAAGGCTTCAGCACTCCCCACCTGGTTGCAGGCAGTCACATTGTGGTTCACAACCCAGAAATTCGAAGAAAGACTGGTAACTTATTTGTTAGTTTTTTGTTATTTAAAAAAAAAAAATCTTGTTGTTACCACTTAAATTTGTATATGGTAACAGCATTATAGCTGAACCACGTTTGTTTTCTTGTGCATTTGTGCTTTTCTGTGATTTGGAGGTGAGCAGATGCATTAAAGTTTAACTAGTGGTGCTTTGACCTACAATATGTCACTATAGGTGATGTTAAATATGCATCTGGAACTTACCGGATCTTTAAACTGCCTCAAAACTCCATCAAGACCAGAGCGCTGGTCACATATAAAGGCACCGTGCCTGACTGCGCTGAATGTTTTGAGTTTGATGCCTCTCATTCCTTTAAGGTAAACTTTTTTTTATTGTAGTTATTAATTTTATAAATGTTAATATGATTTATTTGGTGGTCAGTTCTGTTAATTCTATTCCAGACAAATGCCCCAGTGGAGGTGGGTGCAGAGATGGCCGCCATCCTCCAGAACACCCGTTTCTCTACAGACTTCAATATCACAATGTTAGACACTCCAGATACAGACCAGAGCAGTACTCCGCAGGTAAATGTGATGTACTGTGTGCATATTTTATTCATCATCTTTTGGTATATAAGGTGTACTTCAGTACTCAGTTTTTATTTTTCCAGTATTGCCACCTTAGCCCATTCCTTCTGGCGGATAAACTGGGTTCCTCAGTCAAACAGTGCTCGAAGACAGGACACTAAGGTAAATGTGGAGAGTCTGGTGGGTCATGTGATGTCTAGATCAACTTGAGAAAATGTAATGGGAAGTGAGAGTATAGGGTGTCTAGTGCTCAAGTGATCATTCCTTATGTTTTCTTTAGACCTGCAGAAGCTATTTGTCCTCTTAATTGTAAATGACTTTTAATAAAACAAAAGTACTAAACAATAAAACAATGGTAATAATTAAGATATTAATTACAGTGTGCAAAGTTATCCACTTTTTATTCAAGAAAAAAACTAATCAAGATCTTTGTCAGTCCATTTATATTTTGATTTTATGTTTAATTCCAACATAGTTCTCTTTTCTTCTTCTTCTTCTTCTTCTTTTTGTGCAGTATTTGTTAAATGTTTCTAAAGCAAATTTTACTGGGCTCTATTTCTTTGTCCCTTATAAGATAGCAAATCAACTCAAAGTTTCGGTACTTCTTTTCTATTCTGTATGAAATAAGGCAGTGCCAATATTGATACACAATCTCTCATTACTCTGTTAAATTAATCTCTCTGCAGCACAAATGATTTTTGCAGTTTTCTAGATGGCTGCTTGTTTCAGTTCATTTAGTACCAAGCTTATTTTGTTAATTCCACACATGATGCTAGATAAATATAGTTGTTCACCATTTTTCTTTTATTCTTTTAATGGCCTTACTGTTGGATATATAAAAGTCATCACTGTTGTGGTGTCATTTCCTTGGTAAATTCTTAAGATGACATACTGTTTGAGACATGATATGTAGAACAAAATCTATGTAAGACAATATTTTTATTGTGCATCATTTCAAGCTGTAATTTTGTCAAAAAAGTGTGAAAATATTAAATTCTGTGTATTTAGTGTAAATAAAATACTACCTTTGAAATTAGCCTTAGCATACATATTCTTCTATTGAAAAATGTTTAAAATGTCATTTCCACCATAATTTTATTCAAAATACATAATTTGAAATGTGGTGGAAATTACATTTTAGACAAAATTGCAAATGACCAAATTTATTCTTGTGTTGGATAGATAATTCAGCACAAGAATAGATTTTGTCATTTGTAAGGTTTTCTAAAATGTTGGACAGTGTTAGTAGATCAGAAGGGATAGAATTAACTTCATTTTTTGATTTTCCTCATTCCTAAAAATCATGTGATATTTTTAATAGCAGGATGTAGACAGATCAGTCACTTTCCCTGAAGTCTCTTGAGAAAGGCTTTGCCAGTAATAGGAATTTCATCATACTTTTTCTCATACCTTGTATTACAGACTGCATTTATCCAGCTTTAAATACACGAGTAAGATGAAATTTAAGTATGTGTAGTCTCAGTAATCTTGTTCTTTGTCATTGAATAGTCTAAATTTTTTGGTTTATAGCCTTTGGTTTATTTCTTGGTTTATATTTTTTGTTGTGTCAGTTGGTTTAACAATGAAAAGGTCCTGATTTAAGTATGTCATTGGACTGTAGGTGGCGCCAAAAATCCTCAAAGTGTTCCCACATTAGCTCTGTAGTCTGTGCTCGCTATGTTACTGCATTTTTATGGTTTTGCAGCTTGCAGTGCAGAACCAATATGATTAGACAATGATAACGGCACAAAGCATTCATAATTCAATAATATGAACTGGCAAATTACCTGCACAACAATTCATTCCAAGCAATCAATGAGCATTTTCTGAATCTCATTTATAGTAATTTACTTGAAGATTTAATTTGCTAATAAAAGCCTATAAGATTAAAGAAAAATGGTCATAATGATGTGAATTCTTCCTTTGAATAAGTCTGATCTGTGCATTATAACCCGGGCTGCATTATATTAAACATTGCACATGACAAATTGAGCATGCAATGGTTTATTTCACTCGAATTCTCAGGCATGTATCTCTAGAAAATGCTTATATTGGACTATCAATTAAAAAAAAAATGCCTCCTATAAACTCCTGGACTTCTCCTCAGGGCTCTGAGAGGGAGTGCTGTGATATTCTGAGTTGTGTGGAGGAAGCAGGTGTGGTGTAAATGTAAACACAGCACTGAGGAACAGCTCTCATTGTCCTGATTTCACCTCTGCTAAAGTGCTGGACTTCTACCGCATGCCCAGAATGTATCCCATTACTCTCAGCCACTTAATGCTTGACAATAGCCAGAGCTAAAAAGCCTCTACTGTCAAGAGACACTGTGAATGGAAGAGTAAGCTTCAGCGTATAAGACCACACATTGATTCCAGCATGATGCTCATCTTCTGAGCTTGTTCATGTATTAGATTTCAATGACGTAAGCCGGCGTATTGTACTAGAGGATTGATAAATAGGAACTGTGCCAGTTATGTTTTCAAAAGTGAATCTTACTGTACATTAATGACCAACTTCCTTTACAGATGAAAGACCCTGTGATTTCAAAGTATGAGGTTTGTGGATGCTAGTTCTAGTTATACTAGTCCTAAATACACTACTGCTCAAAAGTTTGGTGTTGGTAAGATTTTTTTAATGTTTTTGAAAAAGTCTCTTATGCTCACAAGGCTGCATTTATTTAATCAAAAATACAGTAAAAACAATATATATATATATATATATATATATAT